AGATTTACTCCCAGGTTGTTCACATTCTGCTGAACGGTTGAACTCAGAGCCGAGATGTTCTTTTATCTTAGGGATTTTATTTTCAGGTTTCATGTATTACCACAACCAGAGCTGCAGGATATATCAGAGCATTAGCATCTCAACGAATGTGTGTGTCATAGTCACACTGCAGATCCTGTGATGGACAAATGAAACGTTATCGAGGGACTAAACCACTAAACTTCTCAACTGTTCATCTCGGCTGCATGAATGCTTTTTTTAATGCAATATGTCATCAATGATATCCAAAAATGCGTTCATATTTATCACAAAAACATGATGTCCTAGGCACTTTAATGAACTGCCAGCCTTTCAGGTACTGGGTCCTGCATATAGAGGGGAAGACTATGGAACCTCAGGATCCAGTACTTTACTAAAGAACGTCAGAGTATTTTTCCAAACATGCTCCTACTCTTCTCACATCTCCATATCTGAATCAAGTAACTTCAGTATTTTTCAGAGTGTCCAGAACCATCTCAGCTCAGCTCAAACAGTTATAACGTTATTGTTCATCGTAATGTTATCTTAGTTTAAAATGCTGCATGAAAGTTGCATTTCCTTTGTTTATGTTCATATTTTGACCAAAATTCAATGCCGTTTTCTTTTTGGGCTTTTTCTGTTTTTTTTTTTTCAAATAAACAAAATGCATTTAGAAATATTACTGTCACCTCACCTACTGAACTAATTCCACCAAGTTTCACAGTTTGCTAAAGTGGGTGTAAAACTTATTTTTCCCAAATGTTTTCTAAGTCCGTCACAAAAGGTGTCTTTAATGTTTTTAAAATGAGTTGACAAATTATTTTTGGATAAATATTTATGATTTTAGAGCTATATAAACATTTGTAAGTTGAACCGTCGTGGACCGTTTCAGTATCAGGAAGTTCTCCACATCTGTTGCTGTGTAAGTTTTGGTTCCACACCCCTCCCTTTGGTATCTTTGAAAAGACAAAACTCTCACAAATTCAGGGATATATCTTGACARTGTGTTACTCTTTGTTTGGTGACGTGAAGTTTGTGTGTAACCGAGAGTATAAATAACAGCGCTCATGTGTAAAACAGTGAGGCGGAGTTTGGTTCCATTCAGTGATTTCATGGTGTGCACAATGGTAGATTTTGATGATGCACAGTGTAAATGTCAAAAGAAAAGGTTATGTCATATGCAGAATGAGTCCTACAATAGAAATCAACACTTTTATTAAACGGATTCTCTTTTATGAAGTAAAAAACCCATTTGGCACAGTTTTGGGTACATTTGGCTAAATTGTGCCAAAATGACATGTCCGCCTGGCACACTGCTCACTAAAACCTTTGTGAAATGAATATACTTCAACTTATTCTGTCCTACTTTGCTACAATTTTTCTCAAGGTGTAGATGTATAAAATCTAAGGGCATTCCTGGGTTTTCACAAGAGTTTTCATTGTGTTTTGCACTGTTGATTTTAAAAAAATCTAGGCGAGACTAAAAAAATAACAAATTTTCTTTATTTAATCACAAATAACTCAGGCACAGTAAGAGTTACAATACTGGTTTCACTAAGATCTTACCTTTACAGGAGGTACCAAGAGTTAGCATTTAGTTCTTACAACTGTGGAGCTATTCTTCATTTATTTTGTTGTGTATTTTCAGGTGGAAATTACCTCTAAAACCCTTTAGGGCTTAACAGGTTTTAATTAACCATCTTTCCATGTGCACTGGTGACAAATTCCTTGTCCTCATCATGGATCATCAACAGTTCAGTTGGATTGCCAAACTCTCTTTAATATTTGTTCACTTTTATCTTTCTTAAAGCCAACGGGCGAGTGCTTTGATAAGGAGAACATAGCTCCTGCTGTACCTGCCCCAGGGTAAAATGGCTGAACGTGTTGCACCTTGTTCAGAGGTGGCCAGGTCAGGTGATACATCTCCTGCACACGCAAGCTGACAAAACAAGCTGCTTTAAAACTAGATATCACATAGTGGTAACACAATGACCCCCGCACGCACAAATGCACCAGAACTAAGAAGTCTTTATTCCTAATAAATGTCATGCTACTAGGTGCATCCCAAAATTGTAGTGGTTTGGGTGGGGGTCTTTTTTGGGGGGGGGGCATTGTTTGACCTGATGGATAGCCCCTCATCAGAGCTAAACAACAAAAGAAATCTGAAGCCCCTATGTTTAATAGTTTTTGAGCTATAACCATTTTTGTACGACCAGATACCC